GCAAACATGACGCCCATACTTTTCGGGCACTCTGCATGCTGCGTTTGTATTGAGTGTCGCTATTCGCTATCGTTATTCTTGTTTTTAACCTTTTAGATAAAGTTTATGGTTATTACAGCAGCTTCTGTAGCTCGTCTCTATTTTTGTGTCTTATGGGCATCTTACTCAAAGTGGGAGTAAGCCTATCAGCTTCATCCACCTATTTTTGAAGCATTCGAAAGTAAATGTTTGAATCCGTGCGCATATTGCGTCTTAAATAGAAAAAGGCACATTCAAATGGACTTAAGAAGCCTAATCGTACATGCAAAGATTTTATCACCAAAAAAAAGCCCGTCAGTCGGACTAGTGCATGGACTGCTTAAAAAGGAGGGAAAGGGGGTTTGAAGCTATACAGTCACGGCCCAGCACGAGGTGGCATTTGAGAAATACGAAAACGAATTCTCCTTGACATTGCAGAAAATTACGAGATAGCAGCTACTTATAAACTGCAACGAAAAAAAGCGGATTGAAGTGAAGTAAAGACAAGAATAAATCGAAAATTAGTCGGCGAAAGGCGGAAAAGGCTGTTTTCGTAACAGAGTCGTAAACAGACGAAACCTGGGTTAAGGTGAGTGCTCATAGGTGCTTGCTCTGAAGAATATGGATAGAATTATGTAAAAGATTTGGAAAAATGTGAGGAAAGGAGAGAATCATGAAGAGTTATGACTTTATCTGTTCTCGCGCAACCTCAGGGTGCTCCCAAGCTGCGCGGTAGCAACCTAAAATCAAAAAACACAATTTTCTTCATCCACATAATTTTTCATAATTTCGTATTTTTCTTTTAATCTTCGTAACGGATGTACACATCAAATTTAATGTCTCATTATTGCTTACTGGTTGTAAGCAAACTGATTGTTTATATTTTCGTGCGAAAAGATCGTGTTTCAACACGCAAAAATGTGTGCACACAAGTTCATGCACTAGTCGTGTTTGTAACGTTCAAAATCCCCTATAAGTGGTGAGATAGGGGTTAAGCTTCACATTCGGACTGCTAAGACCTAGAGTTGTGCTTTCTAATACAGTGCTGGACATAATTATTAGGTCGTTCCATAAGTTCGTAGCGTTTTTATT